GCATGTATTTCCGTAATCATAAGCCTTGAAAATGCCATCCCAGCAGTTTCCAGCTTGTTTGTTGAGTGGAATCGGCGGTTTCCATCATCTTTTCCCCGTGGGTGGAAGTGAATAAGGAATTCCACGAAATGCGTATCCTTGACCATTATATTTACCATCCACTGGTCCACATTGTGTCTCTGTTATAGCTTTGAGATCGCTGAATAATTTAAACTCAAAATATGAGAAATGGAGGAATTTCTGCAATAGAGTAAACACAGACATTATAGTTCTGTCCAGACCTATGTGACAAGCGTTTGATTAATTTGATCGATGATGTACGACTCGGGTTCCGTTGAACACAAATCGATAATACGTGTTTTGTATGTTAACCTCTCAAATTCATTTGTTGAGATGTAAACACGAATATCCAAAAACATACCCTAACACTTCCACATCTATGAAAATTACGAATTACACACGCAAAGGATGATTAGAAACGCTCGAGATGGAAATCGATTCGACTACGGACAATTGACCTGTCTTTACTTTTTTAACAAACAATCATTATTTACAACTTATAAAATTTCTATCGAACTGGCTATTAGATAAAGTAAATGTGTCATGACTTGTCCTTTGAACAGTTGTCTTTCCGTCTTATCTTGGAAGTGTTTCACACTTGGTCTTTATTTCTGATGCTGAACGTCTTCTTGGTGTTTATGGTATTTCAGTGACAGTTCCTCGCTTTATTTCCAATATTGTATCGCACACTGTGCCATATTTCTTTCAGTGTCGAGCGATATATTAAGCAATTAATTGTTGCAACATCAAACACCTATATACATGTATGTTGGTAACCATACACATAATATGTACTGTTTATATGTATCAACTTGAAGTGTTAGTATATTAAGGTTACGAAGTGCTACAAGACAAAGTCGTATGTGCGCCATACCATGCCTCAATGCTTTTTAAGTCAATGTCCCTGATATTTTTTTTTTTTTTTTTTTTGTCATTAGACAACTATCGTTTATATATTTTTGGATATGTTGATATCACCAATAAACTATGGTTTATCGCATTGTGCGTTTGTATCACTACTGCAATAAGGTAATTTTGGACAGGGCAGGTAATTCTGGAGACGACACTCGCCATGTTGGATATCATATTGTACTTTTACTGTTTTCAATTTCTTAGTTATGAATTTATGATTGCCACAAATTGTAATTTATTTCTCAGTTGTGTAAATGTAGAACGTGTCCCATACCTCGTACATATACCTGTAAAAACAATGCTTTGTTTTCCACTTCTGCCGCATCACTTTCAAATGTATGCCAAATACATATATATAATTCATATGCCCGTGCTGTCGTTATAACTTCATTATAAAGGGGCAGATTACTCGAAAATTTGACAATTCACTTGTCTGTACTGACGTGATAACTTCATTGTGAAGGGGCAGATTAGTCGAAAATTTGACAATTCACTTGTCTGTACTGACGTGATAACTTCATTGTGAAGGGGCAGATTACTCGAAAATTTGACAATTCACTTGTCTGTACTGACGTGATAACTTCATTGTGAAGGGGCAGATTAGTCGAAAATTTGACAATACAATTGTCTGTACTGACGTGATAGCTTCATTATAAAGGAGCAGATTACTCGAAAATTTGACAATACACTTGTCTGGTCTGACGTGATAACTTCATTATAAAGGAATTATATTTATGTGAATTAATAGTCAAAATGAAGGAACTTTTTCTTTTACTGTCATAGAGAAAATGGGTGGAGTTGAGCTATCAGTAAACGACAATTGTGAATATCTGTTTCGTAAGGAACACAGATTACACAAGTGAATGTATTTGACTCTTTGAATGGTGTTAGTGTTAAATATAAGTAATACTCTTTTTATTTGGAGCACGTGGTACTTTGGCGCGAGCGTTCACGAAACATTTCGAACTGCTCCATTAAATCTATGATTTCTTAAACTAAACGGAATAAAAGTGCTAATCCTTGATTTGAATCATCACTTAATATATCCATGTTTATCAAAATAATGCTAATAAGACATCATAACCATAACGTGTGCATAGAATTCAACGGGTGTGGTGAGGGATGATCACTATATTTGACAAACTTGTGAGTTAATTTACTACGATTTTGTTCGTGATGACAAGAAAATATTTGATGTATATCAGTTACATTAACTTGTCCAACTGAAATCAAAACAATTAGTATTTTCGGATTCCTAATTGACACTTTTAAATAAATACAGCACAAACAATTTCGAAACGGAACCATTTTTGTCGAAAGGGAACCACTTTTGCAACACAGGACTGACGGGAAATATACACTAAATGTAATGTATTTCTAAGGAAAGTGTGAAAAACAGAGCGAAATTATGACTGAAAATGATTTTCTGAAGTCGCTTAAATAGTGCATCTAATTACGTTTAGGAAGAAGTGATGTTTTAGCGTCTGGAATGTCACAACTTGGCGTCGATTCAGCGCGATTTCAGACAATCAACGTTCAAACCTTACATAATGTGAGTGGGTAGGTTGTGACGTCCTGTTGCGGACATTTCAATGTGATTAAAGTGTAAGTAGGTTGCCGTATTGATCATGGACATTATTTTCAAATTTGGCGCGGAAACTAAACACCTGAAAAATTAAGAATATTAAAGTGAGCACTTACCTTGGAACTTTTGGTTTTCTAACTCGGAAACGGATCCTGGAAACTGTAAAAACAGTCACCAAATTGTAAAGAAAATGCAAAAGATTTTATCAACGCGAAAACGTCACCAAAAGGAAAAGACTCTATTTTACCTATACCCATTATAGCACCATTACAGGTTTGACATGACAACCGATCTGTAAGGGATGTGTGCAGTGTTTACTCATTTGAATAGTGTAATCCTGAGGACAAATATTGAACTGAACGAAAAAACGATGATGGCTGTCACTTCAAATGATACAATAATAACCTATTACTTTGCAAAACGTTATTGATCAGTACAGGTAAAAAATTATCTATTTGACAAATTTGTATGAAAAAATGGAAGACGAAGAAAAAACAAAGAAAGGCAAAGTTCATTATGACATCATGATAGATACTTGTCGTTTTCTTTTTTTAAAATATACTGCTTTTGTTGCAATCACGGCAGCAAATATATGTTTATTGTACTTTATGAGGAATCATTTTTCAATAAAAAGTGTTTTTCATAGAGCAACAAGTGTTTCCTGACTCTGCAGGAAAGAGAACATTTTCTGAAACGAAACAACGTTGCTCAGTTGAGTACATCACTCATATATATAATGATTAAAATTACATCAAAAGTATAGCTCTGACAGGCTGTGTATCATATTTTGAAACCAGACGTAAAAAATGGGTTTTCGGGACCAACTATCTTTACAGTTATTCGGCCCGAAATCAAACTCCGTAATTGTGTAAAGATTTAATTACGATAACTATGATCGAAGCTATCACTGGCTTCCGGGGAAAGTTTCGGGATCAATGCAGTAATAGATAAAGTGGTGACCTAGAAAGACTTTAACAGTCAATGTTAATCAGATATCACCTTCAGCAACCAACAGATACTAGACTGATATTACGATTACACACAGACACCTACAAACCCTGCTAATTCGCCAGAAACCTTGAGAATTTCAACTATCTGTGCTATTCAATTTAGCTTCTCGCAGTTCTTGTGTCGACAGGTAAAACGACCCTCCAGGAAAGACCTAACAACACTAACGTTCACAAAGGCGATTCTTTCTTTCAGTCAAATTTGTGGTGAATTATATATTTTACTGTTATGTTAATAATTCTCAATCGATAATATGTTTAAAAGTTATATAAGATGAATTTAGATAATTGTTTCTGCAATTTTATTCTTTACATTAATGTATCACAATATAATTTAAATCGTTATCGAGACCCCAATATAATTCACGCAACATCGGCATTTAAATGGCGTCTGGTTAACAACATGGTTGGGTAAGATGACAAAACCTACAATCAAATACCAAGATGTAAATAGAATTATAATCCAGAATCAAATTAACTTAAACTAGGGAGACGCATGAAAACGCACAATGATAATAGGACAAGATGTTCCATAAGAGTAAGCGTTTTCTACTTCATCGACGACACCCGCCATGTAATCTTGGCCAGTCCCTGTTACCAGCGTCACATTCCCACATGACAACAAGGTATGCAACCACGGAAACAACAGGCAAAATGTCGGGAAGTTGGTCACTTATTCTATAAACTAAAGATAGAACATGGTCATATACAACCAAATCTTGCAAATGCCAGTATGGGTGGAGCTAAATGACCTATCTGAAAACTTGTTTTTGATTGGTCAATTGGTATTATGACACCATACTTTTAAAAACAATTTTATAAGCAGAGATAGTGATGAAACGTTTTCTGAATGTTGTTACACATTTTGTATTTCTCATTAGTATAGAAAAAAACCGTAATTATATAAAACAATATTTGTTGTTTTGTAGGTAGCTTCACTAAAGGGTAAATTTAAGATGTTTTTCCTTTTGAATTTAATGCATGTTATAAGGAGGTTTTACCTGTTGTTATATTGTGATATTGAAATATAATTTTGATATGTTAGAAAAATTAATAAAAAAAATATATGTAATATTAATGGGTCACGAGTCTGATAGACGATGTCTTATATTTAAGTTTCGGTATTTGTAAAAGCTAAAAAAAAAGACTAGACGTTAAAAATGCAAAATTATGTGTAAAATGCTAGGTATTTCCTGAATTCTAATAATTCTACCAATTTGTGCCTTGAGCTTCTCCAACCATCCTAGCAACGCCAGGTATCTATCAGTTCTCACTCCTTTGATCGGATTATTGTGCGAAGCATCACAGACGGCTGCTTATGAGTATGATTTAGCGCGGTCAGGTACAATGAAGATTAGACAATTAGATAACGCTAGTGGGGTAATGACGATTACAGAGACGGAGGAGGAGGATCAAGCTGTAGGTGTATATACCAAGGGAACACTTCACTCTATCGGCACCTGGTGTTAGAGCGGTATAAATAGTGCACGGATAGAGAGAGAGGGGGTCTGTAATGGCATCGACAATCCTTCAGGAACAAGCAGAGCCGTGCATTGTCCATTAACGTTCTGTGCTCCTATATACTTCACCTGCTAAAATCATGGAATCGTAACTGTAGGAATTCCTGAATGGAGATGGTCCGACAATTTACAAGTTTGGATTGGTGATTACGTGTGTGACTTGTCTCACACCTGTGTAGTGCCCCGGTTACATTATGAGCGGAGGGGGCGGTCTCAGCGACTCTCCCACGGGAGGCACAGGGGCGGGTCTCCGACCGTATCTCAAGAGGAAAAAGTCGTCCTTTGGTGATACAAAGATCGCTGTTCTGGGACACGAGGGAACAGGAAAGAGTGGTAAGTCTAAAAATGTTACTAAACGTAAAACAGCAAGGTGTGAGAAAAAGTATGACGTATTTTTATTTATTTTTTTTTATTATTATTATTTTTTTTTATCTATTTATCTTTTTTTAATTTATTTCAATATTTACTTACAGCACAAAACATGGCAAAAGAAGCCTTATCTTTATCACTGAAGCATGACAGCATTTCACGCGCCGCAAGTTCAAATTTTCATAACCCTAACAAGCACCCTATTTTAACACAACCGTGCTATTACGGACATTAAAATGCCACATGTCAAATCGATCTTAATTGGTTCCCAAAGCTGCCGTAAGGCTTCCGTGAGGGAACGCTTAGTGATTTAAGTCCCCGTTTTTTTCTACTACAAAAGTGAATACATTCGGCCTTGACCATCCGCTCTTTACGCAATTCCTCTACTCATCTTTATGTTTAACCAAGTACTCCTCTGCTACCTTTTTGTATCCCAAGCTGAGTACCTTCTGAACCGTAACTGCTGGGCGATATAACGATGCCTTTCATTAACTTGCTACGTATTATATGCACCACACATTTGCTAGCAATTAATTTGTGATTATTTGAAACTGTGATGCTGGGAAGCGATCCAAGGCATGTACAGGAAACATGGTGAGAGTGAAGATGGTGCGAGATATAATTATTTGTCTCATGTGGCCCGAAGACGACGTGAGGGATACCCTAGCCCCATGACTCTCTCCTCTTTCATACCCCTCGCCTGGTAATGTTTGGCATCGGACTACCATTGTAGTGTCATAGTGCCTAGAGGTAATTAAATACAAGTCCAAATTTTATTGGTTAATTCGGGTTCGTATGTATTTTAATTAACCCAACAATTTATCAGCGTGCCTTCTTTCTGAGTTCACTAAAACCCGAAACATGAACATCGTGTCCAGACTAGACATCCAACAGTTTCTTAAATACCTGAATACACAAGCCATAAAAACAGAACTCTTCGCCGCACGTACCAGTTTTACATTACCAAACAACATTTCTTGACCAAAAAGATCTCATTTCTGGTCAAAGGCCATTTCGTTAGTCGGCTCTGTCTATCAGCTTGTGATTGTATATAAACAAACTCCCTCCTCATCCTTATTCCACTCGCTGCTCTGTCTCCTTCTCACTCTATGGTTATTTTACAATCTGAAACACGTGGCCGAGTAGCAATAAGTCTTAAATCAGTTCACTCTTATATCTCTCGCACGTGCATGCATTAAATATGAAATGATTATAGATACTACATGTATTCATGTAGCAATTAAACTACCGAAAGGTCAAAGGTTCTCAATAGGAACACTCTAATAACTGCGCAATAACAAGCACTTCTCATCAAACATAAAACAAAGACAGAGTTTTAACAAGTAATGGAACAGATAAAATCACTACCCTCTCATACAAATCGTCGAAAAGAGTAGTTGGCCTATAACGGTATATTTCAGCATTTTTTAGTCGTTGATTGATTTTTTTGTAGGTTTATCGACCGATTTATTGATTTTTACTGATTTCTATGAAATCTCAAGTTAATAAATCCGACAGAAACAATACATTAAATCAAAAAGATGTTCGTTAGTATGTACCTGTATAATCTAATATTTACGTTTACGAGACCAAATAATCAGTTCTTATATCAGAATCTCTAAGGCAGAAGAGTTCTTGGCACAGATTCCTCAAGAATAAAGATGAAATAATTTCGCTTACAATGTTTTAAAGCGTTCTTTTTCGACAAACATTCTTTTGTCTCTAACATCCTGTTCGTCTAGTGAGTAAGATACATATTATATGTTTCATAATTATATAATTACAATGTCGACTGCGGCGTGAAAAACTGAATAGTTACAATCACCCTAAACTGTGTTAAGTCATAACATGTGTAAAACTCTGACATGTATCAGAGAAAACAAAGACAACACGCCATCTATTTTAGGAGTGCGCATGTGCAAACCGATAAAAATCAGTAGAAAAAGAAAGAATGTTGAAGGTTGGTATAAATTGAGTTCGGAAGTTTCTTTACGCAAATTTGCACATTGCAATTACAATCAAAATACAAACTATCAGAAATCCAGGTGCTACTGATGGTTCGTTGCTTATTTTTATCAGCTTGGAGATATTTTTGGAGTTAACTTTTTTGTTATTTGTATTTTTTTTCTCTCGAGTTATCAAGTTGCGTGTTCATCTTCGTGATTATTTTCTGTTTATCCCCCTAACAGCCGTTGTGATACAGTAACTCATTAATATGGAGTGAAATAACAGCTGTTCGAGGGAGGGGGGAGGGGGTAAACCTCGTTCAGTAGCCATATACATGTATTTATTTATGTCACACTTGGCTATTTCTGTAATTAGGGAACGTTTATTTTAATTGACAATGGTTTGCTATTAACTCTCGCTGCTTCTGTAGTTTTCGGCAATAACTGAGCGCAAAAGACTGTAGACAGCGGCTCCTTACAATTTGCCGCTAAATTGTTTAGATTGCTAAAGAAAACATATGCGATACTGTCGATGAAGTGTGGTGAGGTTGTTGACATATGCTTATAAGTGTGCAGACATATATATATATACAATACAGAGGTAAGTACATTGAGTCGAGGATATAAGCTCCGTGTTATGACGTCTTCACGACATCGTGGGGACAAACAATTTGGATCCAATGTTATTTTCTCTGCGATACCTTCCAAGGACGAATGATTCCTCTTCAAATGTTTTTTGGACTGCGCAAAAAAGATTTTTTTATCAGATAAAGAATGAGGAAATGAAAGTATATTTATTGCTGAAGTTGGAACATATTTTTAAGCAGGATATGTCATTCATACTACAGCAGAGAAGGTAATTCAAATACAGCTTTCGCTCTCTAAATAAAAGCATGCACAATTTTTTAGCTATCATTATATACTTCTAAACGTTTATACTAGGTCCTCTGCCCAGACAACAGTACGATATCATTAGACCGATTATATCCGTCATACATCTGGTTTTAATTAAGGTATAGCCTTAATTACACCTGAGTCAAGGTTAATTACGATCTAGTCTTCCTACACAGTAGTAACAATGTTTAAGGAATCCCAATACTATGATACATATGATAATGTATATTGTCAGTGACTGTTCGTCAGATGATGAATGTAGTTGACTTTATGCAATTAATTCCTAGTTATTGAAGTCGAAACAGAAATCTGTCGCAGGATTCCTTGTTAAATTTTATTTTGATGTTAAGGATATTAAAAGACAAAATTTTCCAGCGTAGTTACTCTTGTTGACCCGGATAAAGACACATTAAGGGTCTTACTGTGGGAGGGGAAACCTCAGTACCTATGTGGTAAGTTAGGTCACCCAATATTTTTTCTATGTCCGTACCAGGAATCGGACCCCGGGCGCCTAGGTGAGTGCGTTATAGAACCACACTATATGGTATTACACACATCATATAGTCACCTTTCCATCTAGATTTTACCATTTCGTTTCTTTAATCCGTCGATTCCCGAGTTTCAAAATTTGTATCCTTATCATCACTGCTGAGTCATAAAAGGACGAAACAGCTGTATGATGCAGTTTAGCTCATTGTTTGGCACTATACTATCTATTAAGTCTAAATTTGTATTGAAAGGCGCTATCAACTTGTGTATCTTTTTTACAATTATCGTGTAGGTTAGACGACCAACCAAGTTGAGTGTTAGGAGTATACAGCTGTAGGCAGACATTGTGAAAAGTCTTTACCCATATTTAGAACAATAGCATCGACATCGTACGAGTATGTATTGTTGTATTCCATTTCCGAGACATTACGGAAGACCATTTTTAAATACAAGGGAATCACAAGTAAACAAATTATACCTTCCAATACAGTGATTTATACTCTTAAAAGAGTGTGCCGGTTCTATTGTATTCAACCTAGTACGTAGAATAGACAACTACAGAATATAGATATATGTAGATATACTTTCCTTGAAAGAAATATATTTCATTAAATTTCAATTAAATTTATATCAAATTTCGAATTGACTTTAAGTAATCGTTCATGCATGCTGTTCAAATGATTTGTATAATTTGCTAATACCTCATTACAACTTAAAATGTTTACTTGTTTAAGGAACTATTTTCTTTGAGAAATTACTACGCATTGGTACGAGCCAACTAGAAACTGAAGAAACATCGCCGCCATATTTTATGCAGAATGTCGAATTTTGGGTCACTATAAACGCTGATTACAAATAACACTGAATCCGGATTTTATTGATAAAGTCTGAAACGAATCTCGGTTTTGGCAAACAATGAAATTTCTCCATTTGTTCGGATATGAAATTACTGGATATACGACTTCACATTTGTTGTAAATCTGAGAGCGAGCATTAAATACCGAAACGGTTTCATCCGGAATAATTGTTTAAAATTGTATAGTTATATCTACCGATAAAACAACTATATATCACAAGGGCATTATAAATATAAAAAAAGAACTACTTTAGTTAATTATGGCACTGGTTTAACTATGAATGTAAATATAAATTAGATATATAAACTGCATGAAGTAAGTACATTCATGTACATTGTATGTAAGACCTCTTATCACGTGCTGTTGTTTTCAATAAATATCAACTGTGGTTTATCAAACATTAAAAAAGATATAGATGATATTTGGTCCAGAAGCCTTGGTATCCAAATCTAAAATATATTTCATACCAAATTTGAAGTGAAAAAACAAGGATAATATTTTTTTCGATTTGAACGGATGCAAGAACGCTCACATTGTTTATTTGTCAATACAAGCAAAGCGGTTTTTTTTTTTGTTCTATTTAGAAGGATGCAGGAACAATATCTACCGACCAAAGCTTTGATCCGATTTTTCATTGATTAATCTATCGTAAAAAACATATTTTGTATAAAACTTCAAATCGACATAATGTTAACCCTTAATTCCTTGCGTACTTTAGTACCAACCTCAGAAAAAGAAGCTGAAAGCTGTAGAAAAAGTTCATTACGGAGAGAAAAAAAGGTTTGATGCAGCGATCAAAAATGATGTTTACTTGAATGCATATATCTTTTTATTGTTTTCGAACACGTACTGATGTTTCTTGATCGTAAAATATATTTATTATGACAGTGCATCATCTAACAGATATCATGTGCAATCAATCAGGTAACGTTAAACAAATGGCCCTGTTGAGTAAGATTAGTACCTGTTCCAATTCCCTCAGACAAAGTAGATTGAGTAGGAACCTTTCTGATGAACCACAGATGATTACCCTGAAGTTTTGTAGCATTTTACAGGTATATTTTAGGTGTAGGAATCTATTTTAGCTTTGTATAAGTGAAGCTTGAGTTCGACTTCTGCCAGACTCGTTCACAATGATCACAGGGTTCCAAGATATCAAGTGTTTTACTACAATAAGATCCCAGTAAGGGATATGTTATATAATATAACGTTCTCTGTACCCTGTATCTCTAGGTTAGGCCTGGTGTGTATCAGTTCAGACATGAAATTATTCATCTAGATATTCAACTGCCAGATAACATGTATGGAACAGGTTTTTTTCGTTTTTGTTTTTAACATGTCAAAAGAACAACGTACCTTCGGTAGACGGTTTCTTTTGTGTATTTAAATCGTGGCAGATGTGAGATAATGCAAAAGCATGTTGAAAGATATCCTTGCCATGATATGTAATAATACACAGCACTGACAGATCAGGGGATGATAGGATAGCAAATAAACAAAAAATATTTTTTCAAACACGTCGTCATGTTACTTACCGTAATGCGGACTTTGACAATTTTACTCTTGTTGATAATAGTAACTATTATCGATATTACGATAAAACATTTAATAAAAATATAGTAATTAGAGCACATTATTTCATTTTTATTGTAAGCTACCTTAAGATGAACTGTTGTATATGTTACATAAAATGTTGTTTGAAACGTCACGAAAGCAGAAAAGCAGGACAGAAATTCTTTGAAATCGCTAAAAACAGTATGATATACAACAGGTATAAGGTATATATGCAAATGAAGCAACATATAGATAAATTCCACGCGCGTTTAATTGTTGTATTCATGCAATTCTTGTGACTGATGGGCATTCCTTATCGATCTGTCTTCAACCCACGGTGTTTTACTTGTGTGATTAGGCAGTTTGGTAAATGAAATCTCAGCCAAGTGAATCATGATAGTTGAAACGATTTTATGTTCGGTGTAGCGAGTAAACTACCTTACTTGACGAAAGCCACTGCATCCCTCCACAGGATGTTTACATTCCTCGTTGTTTATAGTATATAAACAACATCCGGGTGATTTACACCTCTACTTCTGAGGTCATGACCTTTTGGATATTGGAAAGGTCATACTGATCTGAAGCTACCTCCTTCGTGGAGAGCGTTTTTCTTGACCATTTTGGCAGACCTGTAGAAATATATGTGATTGGAATGTGTTTTGTAACCCTTTACCATTTTTGTGAGCAGACTCCATTGCAGCTAAATACATCTAACTACCTCTTTCAATATCGTTAAACCATTTTCAGTGTTATTTTAAGTGTTAACGATGCTATAATTAGCTTCATGAAATATTCGTTTGAAACATTTGTTTGAAACGAATTTGATTTCGTTTTACAATCATAAACAAAGTCGTAAAAATTCCAAGGAAAAGTGAAAGCTTAGATGTATCATGGCTTTTAAATTATATTAAAAAACATTTTCGACGAAATTATGAAGCAATGTTTCATAAATTAATAACTTTGAAAGATTATCTTGCTACCATTTCATCCAATAAGCAGTGCATAGTTTCCATTCCTATCAAACAGTGCTGCAAGCTGACTCGGTATGTTTGAAACACTAATAAAACTGTGTGGTTTTAAGAAAGGTTTTCGTGGATGGTGCAATAATTTAAATTTTCGGTGCAAATTTAGAACATTATTTCAATGTATGCCTCTTTATTTTTAAATGTTTAAGCACACAGTGCCCATTCATCGGAGGGTTAAGTTTTCAATTTGTCCAGTTTGCAGAATACACTTTAATTTCTAAAATATCGGAAAAAGCAAAAACATTTCCAAAATGGCCGAAGTAGTAGAATAAAGATTGTACAAAAGATACACAAATGACTAACATCTTTTAATACAAATTAAAAGTTAGAACTACACCAAACAGATGTTTCTTCCCTCTAGGATACGTCAGTGGTGAAAAGGGTTTAATTTTGGATACTTAAGAGAAAAGATGATATCAGTCATTGCTCTACCTAAGCAGAAAAGACAGACAAGTCGTCTGGGGTCAAAATAAATGTCATTGCTCCCGAAACCTGTCTACAACATACACAGAGTCGCTTGGAATCCCGCGCGCGTCGCCATCTTGTCTGACTTTACGTTCTGACAAGCATTTCGTGCAATTTTTCTGAACCCAACGTTCTCCATCACACATTTATATAGATAATTCATTCATATACATTTCACGTGTATTGCTTGCTGTCAAATCTCACATCGGTAGTGGTTGAATGTAGTGACTTGATACACGTACCATGGTACCTAATGACGCACGATTGTTTGTATACTGATACTAAGGTTAACAGATACATGTGTGTATATATAGAAAATAAGTAAACAGACAGTATTTCTATTCATTATAGGCAGACTCAACATAGCTTCATTTTACAGTCATTTTATACGATACTGCCATGTGTTAAATACGTCATAAATATTTGTTCTCTACAAAAAGAATAATTATTCTTTGATATGACATCTTGTTCAAATTTTCACAAATGCTTGTTCCATTTGGCCTCCAGTTGCATTTTCCATTGTTGAGATACCAGGTTTATCTCCATCACTAACACCATACTGATTCAAATGTCGATGTGTAGTCCCCATATCCAACTAGTGTTGAATGTGTAGTTAGGCACAGTGAAGCGAATTTCTAGGTATATGATTTCGGCCTTGCTGTCAGGTGTCCGAATAATGCTATTTTCTTTTGTCCTTATTGCATTGGAATACCTATTCAGTCGAACTCATATGAGTTCGATGGTTTGTGTTTGTTTCTATCACCCTGGCATTTCCCGTGGTCCTTTCACAAAACCCTATGCACGTATACCGTGTACTGTAAAATCGTTAATTTTCGTTGAGGTGATATTTTCGTTGATTCCGTGGTCACGCTTGATCCACGAACTAGTATAAGCAGACTTATCGAGATGTAATTATACTTGTAATTTCTGTATTAAACACGCAAGTTGCCCAACAAATATATTATTTTACAATAAAGTGACATGTTATAGATGTATCTTACAACCCACAAGGTTATTGGAGATGTTTTTCTTTAATTTAATATACTCCCATCTGTTGTCGACATATTGTTATCTAATTCTACAATAACTTACTTTAACGACAGATTTACAACATCCTTAACATATTTTTTTTTTAAATTAAACATATTTACTGGATATTGTTCTCCCTAATTGAAAATGTTTTTGTTTTTTCTAGCTTTATCTGTCCGGTTTTTGACCAAGAGATTTATCGGAGAATACGACCAGACAATAGGTATGTATAGTGGGTTAGGCTCGTCGTTTCGGATATACACTCGTACCAGCATGACCTTTGAGAAGAACCCCCACATCTTTATACAATAGAGTGTAAAATGTTCATTAAGATAATATCTGCATTCAAATCAAAGGCATTTCCATACGGCTGCATGGTAATTGATAAAGTCTGTAAGAAACATGAGGAACACATGTATGTATCCGAATTTCCGTCAATAGAACACCATTTCAAGGTATTTGCTAGTTAAACATCAACGTCATAAATTCGTGGATTAATTCTGAACATTATCCGAGATTGAGGGATGGGCCTAATGATCAAGAGATAAGTGGAGTCGTAGACATTTCTAATTACTATCATTCACTATTATAACGGTTTCTAAATTTTCAATTCATTAGAAAAGTTTGGGTATAGAAAATATAATTCTTGAACAATTCGCTTGACATCAATTTTAAATTAGGAACCTCATGTTTACTGATTTACTGCCGGATGTATCATTTAACACATAACTTATTTGTAAATACAAAATATATAAACTCGGTTATTTGGCCATTGTTTCGTACTTATAAATATATGATATGCATTTGGTTGCTACCGTGTTCCGGTATCAACGTGACAAGGAGATCGGTCCGCCACGCGAGCGATATCGTGTAGTGAAGTGTTTTGTAAGGCTACTTATTTTCCTTACTTCCGTAGCTTGCACGTGCTTGTACGCCTTAACCATCTGTTGGTAAGTGTAGGTGGTACGTACATGTTCGCACAACGCACGTGGGACGAACATACATACGCTGTTACAGACCTGAACATCCCGGTCTTTGATCGCATAACATGCACAATTTGCACCTGTACATATAAACAGTACAAAGGTCAAAGGACCCTAATCAATCATTAGTTTTCTGTCACTTCAAGGTAATGTATCAACGCCCACGTTTAAACCGGCGCTGGTCGAATATTTAACATCACACCATTTACATAAATCCATGCTAGCATGTGTCTAACACCTCATACACCCTGTGATATTCTAGTTAAGGCACATCATTAGAACTGTCTAAGACCACGCAAAAATACACTTCGTTGGCTGCAATAGTCATTTAAATTGTACAAACCCAAGCGAAAAGTGCCTCTTGAAACATCAACACAGTTTGTAAAGCCTTCAATTAAAATATTAAACTTCAGATGTATGTACATAGCATTACTCATCGCCATTTGATGTAAGTTATAAGAATATCGAAGGCTGGTTGCTGAAAGAAACTGACATACTTGTTATGTATTCTCTGACTTAGGAAAAGCTTCTCTTTTTATCTCCAGACAGGTCAAATTGGTGCGGTTGCCATGCATTAAATTAACCAATCAAATATCTTTTTTAATCTATCCTACTATAATTCGTTTTTCCCATAATTACATGTAGAGGCGTTTTTGCTTTTGTTATTAGTGTTATTTTCATTCTGTTGCAGAATCCAAATACAAATATACTACAGTGGTCGACACAGAATCCATTACATTCGAAATCCTTGACACAATCTCAAACGTAAGCAATTTCGCCGTAAGGCTGTGCCTGATGTGTTTATGTTCAATGCTTATCTAGTTCTACACCGTCACTGGTTTTTGTATTTAAAGAAAAAAACTCAAAACTCATTAAAACATTCGATCTTGAATTTCAATTCTTAACACTTTAACTAGTATGAATTTTAACACTATTTTCTGTTCTGTTAGACTTTATATTTTTCGTAACTGACCAGTTTTCGTGCATGATTTGTCGTACTTTTAGAGAGAAGATTGTGGAGCACGTGACGACGTATTACGATGGGGCGACGGCTTCATGTTAGTGTATTCTGTTGTCAGCCGGAAGTCATTTGACGCCTTGCAGGAAGTGAAACGGAAAATCGAGGACGCCAAGAAAGGCTCTCCGGCGCCAATCTTGATGGTTGGCAACAAATGTGATCTGGCGCACATGCGTCAAGTAACAAAAGATGAAGGTAGGTTACGGATGATATATAATCATTTAATATAATAATTATAGAAAAATATGTCATGTAAATGTTGTATTAATGAAACATCTCATAGGGTAGACCGAATTCAATAATTTGCGTACATGGTAATACATCAAACAGTATCATCTATCAGTAACAAGGAGGATTAGGACAACACCATAATTGTATTTAGCGGCAAACAAGTTGAAAAGATCTTATTCATTTGTGTACATTTTCTTGTTTCTACTTGTACATGCATATTTCATTGTTATTTTATAACTTGAAATCAAACAAAAATTTGAAAACAAAAAGAAAAATCATATTTTAGATTTCAAGAATTTGTATCGGCATACAGCTTAGTTGCCCTTCAGATGACATACATTGCTTGGTTGCGAGACAGAACTTTATCAACCGCTAAATTCTGGTAGAAAATTCAAAGTTATTAATGTAGATTGTTTTATAATCAATATCTCAGTTTTTATATCTATTTTAAAATTAATTTTTATGTTATAACTAGCAGTGGAGAAATCTACACGTGATTATTCCCAAGCGGAAATAATTTTGGTTGTTCAATTTGTTGGCGTGACGTCAATTTAACTTTCGACGGGATTTCCCGAATGTATCCTACGGGGTCGAATTGTTTCTATTTTTAGAGAAAGTGTTTGTTCCCAGATGTGATTTATTGTGGTGTGAAACACAGTTTGGCGCAAACATGGCACACATCATGGTTGAATATGCATCTTTAAGTGATAATTTCAAGAGGTTTCTTCGTCAATATATTTTAAGTGAAAACAAATTCACAAAAAAGTGACACATTATACATCGAATATAATATCTCTAAACAAAAATAAAGTTTGTTCCATAATTTTCAAAAAAAAAGACAAGAAAGACAAGTAAGAAAGAATCAATATTGATTATCTCATTAAAAAATTAAAACATCGAAAAAAGCACAGGATTGGAAATCTGTACATGTGATGATACAAGGCAGGTTTCACTACCCATCGCTGACCGCCAGTTATATATACATTTGTACTTTCACTTTAACCCTGTGCTACATTAACTGGCACGAGTATAACGTGCCCAGCAGGTGACCACCATTAATCTATCAGCCAAGATGAAAACGTAACAAATGTTTCTTTAACTGTCAGACCAAGCATCATCCGAAACCCATAACGCGTGTCACTGCGTTTGTTTTGCTATCATTTCCAATCGCCTTACTGCTGGCTTGACGCCATTTTGTGTTTGCTTAGCCGTGATGTAAACTGTTGCGTATTTGATAATATTTGGACACAGAAACTTGCAGTTTTGCTTGTTATTTTAGTAGGGGGTGATATCTAGAATAGACTTTTTCCCTTTCCGTCCCCTGCGTTGTTACAGTACATCGAATAGATAAACCGCTGTGTTTTGATTAAGATCTACCTCATTCCAGTACATGTGTTAGTTCGCTGTAACGAAATACGATGTAACACTCGAACGAAGTAACACTTAACGTTAAATGAACATGGGAAGATTTTTTAAACAAAACTCCTCGGTAGTAATCTCAGTTTTTGTTATGCTGCCTTTGCACTAATCACGGTGTCAGAAGATGTCCTGTACTGTTAGTGCTGTGTGCAACAGCTTTCCATAGACTTATATAGACCAGTGATTCTTTTGGCGAAAATAGTTTAATTAAATTGGTTTATATCAACCATGTGTCATCTGTTATACATAACAGTGTAAGTAATTTGATTAGTGTAAATAATTTCCGTATATGGAAAATATTTCGTTTCTAAAGTAACTTGTGTTGTTCTATTTTCTCCGCTTTGTATACATATATGTTCAATTGTAAGGAAACCAGCAGCTAATCTTATAAATTATAAATTGGTTGTAATGAAGTTTTACATGGGACTAAATGAATTAGTATCATAGTTCATTACACGGCTATATTTGAATAATTTCAGGTGGAATGTGATATTCACTTGTGTTATTTCAATAATCTATTTAAGTTGCGTAGTTTTCAAAATGATTGCTCATTTAAAGAGACTGACAATTTTCAGTATTCCAAAAATTTGAAAAAAAAAAAATTATAATCCACACATTCCATAATAGACTTTCATAAAATCATTTTATTATCAGCTCCCTTTTTTAAATTACAGGTGAGAAACTGGCTCTAGAATTCGGATGTACGTTCGTGGAGGTTTCCGCTTCGGAGGATGTCAGTCAGGTGACAGAAGCCTTCCATGCCCTTTGTCGAGAGGTCATCGAATTCAAGCGAAGGTCAAGGACATTTTTAGATCGAGTGTTTGGTGCTTTTGGACGGGAGAAAGCATCATCCTGACATCATCCTGACATCGATCAATCATGTTTCTCAGTAAAATTGCACAAAAAGTACAATATCGCTTTTCTGTGCACGTTTTAAAGATTAGATTCTGAGGAGTAACATGTACGAGTGGTGATAGCATATTGTGCTTGATACAGACAAAGGGTTATCTCCGCGGAGTTCATTACAGCGCGTGAGTAGCCCAAGTTATCAGGAACAACGTGTGCATTACAAACACTTTTGTGATTAGGACAGATTACCATGTAAAATCTTGGTCTGAAGATTGACGATTACAGCATATCTTGTTTGAAAGAATATGTGTATATTTATATTTATTATTAAATGTATATGAATTGTTACTGTGCTTTATTTTATTTCAAATAAAAGTTTACGGTTTATTGACGTTTGTAAATGACATTACCACAATTTTAAACAATACACGACAAAAATGCGAACTTGGTCAATGTGATAAGAGTGATTAGTTAAGATCCTGGAAATGTTACATCTAGTCCATTCTTGGATTTTCTTTTGATTTCTGAATTCATGTCGACGGAAAATGTTCGATTTTGTAAGAAATACTTGCTACATCCCGCGCTCTTAACTGACCACAAAACATTTAGCGTTAGATTGACATACTGAGTTTTTTCTCACTACAGGTGTTTAGGAGATTATGTAAACAAATAGTATTTGGTCACATTCCCTTTAAAACAGAATAAAGTATCAGAAAAAACCGACACGTACTTGGTAAGACCTGATAATCTCAATACTTAACAGAATTTATATAAAAAGTACTGTAAATGAAGGATGGTTATAATCAAATGTACTTTGAAGTCTTTCAGCTGCAGTTCCGGAAAAAAAGCAGTATTGAGAAATATTAGTATTGAACATCTTGGACTGCTATGCCTTAAATAAAAGAAGCAAAAACTTCTAGTTACAAATTCAATATAATTATCTATACACATACACATTTACGTATGTAAACCTTAAATATCGATAAAGACGAGATATTTAATGAACGTGCAACACATTGCTTTTAATATAAAAACATTTTTTGATAAATTGTCATGGCGTCACTTTTCTTTATACTTGAAATGTTTCCACATTAGAAACATTTTCTATAATGACAAGACCAAACAATTTCATATTGTGAGTCAAAGGAGTTTAAAACATGCAAAAAGAAACACTACCCTACAATGGTGAAGGTTTGCATAACATATTCATGCATCTCTTCAGATATATATATATATATATATGCATATAAAGGGCCTTCGGCGTTCATCGGCCGAAGGGATTATCCACCGCTCTCGATTTAGATTTATAACTTTATATCTGTTTTATGGTCCATGTGTGTGATGTAATTTATGTAATATTTGTGTCTTGATAAAGGTGTAGATTGCTTCGAAAATTTGACAATTCGCATTGTCCATACTGTTGCTATTACTTAATTGATCGTATATATAAATGCATATAAAATTTAATTCTGTCCATGATATAGACGAAAATTTTTATTTAAAATGGGACCGGTCCATCGTTTATCAAGATCATGAGCAATCGTATTCCATGTTAATTAATCACAAACATCAAATAATGGCAAAGAGAAAGTGGTTCGGCTATATATAGTCACATATCATGGAGCCGGACTGTGTCTGGATTTTTATCATTCTTATTCTAGTATACTGTATATCTAAAGATCTCCGTTTAACGTGTTCGTGCTGTTAATGGATTCTATCAAACCAGACAATAACCGTTTCATTATTTTCTCGTAAATAAAGTATTTTCGATAGTGTGCAGGAATCATGATGAAACAAGAGTGGTAACCAAGAGCATGTTCAGAATTTTCACGGGAAACCTTTAATAGATTTATGGAATTTGTAATAAGTTTGTTTAATAGTAAGTGGGCGTATGATGCGTTATTTAAGAAAGAGTGTCTATTGGCAAGATATTTGAAAAGAAAAACACACAGAAACATATGTAGTTAGCATGCATTCCAGGTCGAAGCTTCAACACAGCGCGGGTTATTTCTCTGATTTTTCGCCTACGCATAATAGATCTACGGGGTTCTTGACCTAAACCGAACTTCCTCCTTGAGGTCGAACTAATTGGAGCACTCGTAATGGATAGATTAGTTCAGAGCAAAAAGGAGATCTTTCCTTTACAGATATACACAACACGTAGTTAATTCCGCCTTGCAATGCTGTAATGTATCTAAGACTACTTGGGGATGCACACTTTTCCTAGTTCGTTAGCAGAACAGCGATACACTGCACCAATAGTGTTTTTGAAAGCCTTGCAGATGTTGAAACATGAAGGACATGCATAATGGCAGTGCACATCGCGAACTATGATATTTAGTTTGGAATTCTTAGTGTACCAATCTGTTCGGCATTCTTCGGAGGAATTTTCTTTGATATGATAACAAAGCATGTGATAAGTGTTTCTGGTACTGTAAAGCACCGCATGCATGCGGAAGTCTTCGCATACTTTTCTTATTATATCAAAGCTCCTGTATAATTTTTTTATGAAAATGTATGTAAACAGATAAATAAAACAATAATTTTACTTAAAACAAATGTTTCTGATACCACGTATAATAGGAGACGTGACCTTATGAACTTTTAAAAACACAGGTGGAAACGCAGTCACAATTTTCCCTCAATCTGTCGGGTTTAATAATTGTAAGGAATTTTGTTTCAAACAGAAAAATATTTCGTCTGTATTGTAATGTCGAAACAAACTGTATATGATACATTTCTTTAAAATAAACGTGAAAATGTACCTTTTCAATGCTGCTTTATTCAATGAAGGTTTTGCGTTGGATTTTGAAACCATTCTGAGACATTTCCAATTTCTCCGAACCACAGAATATAAGACATTCTCCATGTTGTGGTCTTGGTATGATGGGACCAAGCTATAGACTAGCAGCCTTTCCCTCTCCATATAGTCCTTTCTACAATTGTATGATGAGATCGGAATTATTTAACGAGGTTTACATATAACCGTTCCCATAATAAACACATGTAATAGAAAGGAGTTCTGTGGGGGTCATTCATTTCAATTATACAGTTATAATTAGCTTTAGTAGTGTTTACGGCGTCTAACGTGTCTGTATTCAGTAGTCTCCTCGTTAATAATGTATTCACCCGTCTGCATTGTTGCCAAGATACTTAAACCAAGTAAACACCTCTCCATACTAATGGAGCTTCATTGTTTCCAGGTTGAATAATGACGATGCTTCTACAGATTGAAGGGAGAAAGAGTTATTCCCCTTGATGAGTGCTCTTTACAGTAATGGGTTTCATAACTTGGACATCATTGAGAAGAACATGTTGTTATGCTAAAAAAAAGTCAATATAGGCCGACGGCTTTAAGAACAGAACAGATGACAAAAAAGAAAAGGATTGTGTCTGTAAATGATTTTAACGATCCAATTTGTTGAAAAGTTCTTCTACAGGATGAGAACATTCTTCATTTAGTTACATCATAGCTGTGAGCTAACAAGTACTGCATGTGAGGTTACATGCTACCGTGCCCAAGTAATGACATTTCAGTGTGATGACACTATAATATAGTCCAATAGTGGCCTCATTATCAGTGAACATCGTTTTCATATATTTCCTGGACTTCCTTTGCTATCTTCAACATTAGTGTGTAGACAAAGGATGCAGAAGTAAATTTAGAGGTATTGCTTCAATAATGGGTAATTTAAGGTGTTGGAACAATGAACAAACACGAAACCTGACATGTAAAAAATGTCACATGGTTCAAATTACTGTAAATAAATGTGGTTTATTTGCCTTTTATATACGGTTTCAATTGATAGATAAGATTTTTGGAACTTACGTTGATAAAAGACATAATTGGATTCATTAACACATTGTCTTTTGGAAGAAGGTCACGTTCTACCAGGATGTATCGTGTTGGACCCTGGTTAATAGCGCTTGAGAAATTTTGATCTCCACGAGTTACTTCCCTTCGTTTCACTCTGTCACGATAGCGATAAGCTTAACAGCCGATGGGTACCGAGAATGCTCTTAAGAGGGGCAAACTGTGATCTGTGAAGACACGAACAAACCAGGAGTTACCGACTACATACAGACCTGAAACTTAAAAGTTGGCATTGTTATTTGGCATATGATTGTAAATGTTTAAAATGCACGAAAACAAGTTCCATTTATTCTGCCAGTAGTTACTGTACAAAATCAATTAAAATGTTAAAAAGATAAATACGCCCCATAAAATATAATTTATTAAGCATTATCTAGAAGGTTTCGCTGGTGGAACAAAACACAGGTGCTATATTCGTACAAAGTGAAATCAAAATTCCCTTAGCTCTACATGGCCTTTCTGTGCCTACTTGTATTACAAATGTAGACAAAGACAGTGTACAGAAGCTACACCGTAATCAGAGTTTTGTAAAACTACAACTTGTTGCTACCGCCGCATCAGTTGTTATTTAACAGTGAACGTTATTATTTCGGTACGTTGGTTACCTAAACTTTTAACGGAAGGAGGAGATACGTGAAGGGAAAGCATCAGTGACAGTCTTAGTAGGACGAAACATAAGTATGAAGTAGCATTGCTGACGAGTCCTAGTAGGACGAAACGTGAGTATGAAGTAGCATCGCTGACGAGTCCTAGAAGGACCAAACAGCTGTATGGTGTAGCATTGCTGACGAGTCCTAGAAGGACCAAACAGCTGTATGGTGTAGCATTGCAGACGAGTCCTAGAAGAACGAAACAGCTGTATGGTGTAGCATCGCTGACGAGTCCTAGAAGAACGAAACAGCTGAATGTTGTAACATCACTGTCGAGTCCTAGAATGACGAAACAGCTGTATGGTGTAGCATCACTGACGAGTCCTAGAAGGACGAAACAGTTGTATGATGTTGTGTCATTGACAAGGCCTAGAAGGACGAAACAGCTGTATGATGTGTCATCGCCGACGGGTCCTAGAAGGACGAAACAGCTGCACGATGTTGTGTCATTGACAAGGCCTAGAAGGACGAAACAGCTGTATGATGTGTGACTGACAAGGCCTAGAAGAACGAAACAGCTGTATGGTGTAGCATCGCCGACGAGTCCTAGAAGGACGAAACAGCTGTATGATGTTGTGTCACTGACAAGGCCTAGAAGGACGAAACAGCTGTATGATGTTGTGTCACTGACAAGGCCTAGAAGGACCTAACAGCTGTATGATGTTGTGTCACTGATAAGGCCTAGAAGGACGAAATAGCTGTATGATGTTGTGTCACTGACAAGGCCTAGAAGGATGAAACAGCTGTATGATGTTGTGTCACTGACAAGGCCTAGAAGGACGAAACAGCTGTATGATGACAAGGCCTAGAAGGACGAAACAGCT